AATATGCTTTACCCTCTGAATCCTTCCAAGTCCTTAAAGAGAGAGCTCATATCCTACCTTCACTAAATGTTCCTTGACTAATGACAATGGTCTCATTCTTCCCTTACAACCTACAGAATAGGTATTACTGTCAGAAAAGTATCTTAATATTTGATTAATGTAGTCTTCTACCATGCTCTAATTGTTTAAAATGATTTTTATCTCTTGTCTCATTAAAATTCTTGAGAACAGACTGTATTATATATTTTCATTGTATTTCCAAGAGTGCCTGGCCTGCTGCTAAGAATATACACATAATTCTGGATAAATATTAGCTGTTAGTACCTGATAAAACCTTTTTTGTTTCTCTCCTCTATTTTATAAGAGAATACATTTTTTTCTGGGGAATAAATTTAAGTTACAAGGAAATAAGGCTAGGAATCCACATATCCAAGAAAAAAAAATCCTAAATCAGAAAGATTTACTGTTTGTTTAGGAGAAATGCACAGTAATGTTTCTCTAATTAATTAAAACAAATGCATAATGCTAGGGTTTTTAAAGATTAAACAAGAATAAATAATGTTAACATTACTAATAAAAATAAAGTAAAGTACACAGTTATGAAAAGGGGTTGAGTCCCCATGGTACAATAGAGAAAACATAGGACTTAGGTACAGAACTGAAGTAAAAATAGCAACCCTCACCAGCTGCTAACTGCATGACATTTAAAAAGCAATTTCAATTTTCTAATCCAGTTTTCTCACTTGTAAAATTAGGTTAAAAAAAAAGCTGTCACAAGATTAAATAAGATAAGGTAAATAAAAAGCATGGCCAATACATCTACTGGTGGATCCTTCCCTTCTATGCTTAAAAATAAAATTTGATGTATTATTTTACAATAAGGCTGAAAAGTTCATTAGATGCAATATATACCCAATCCAAAAATCAACGTTTCAACACAAAATAGAAAAAGAAAGGAGAAAGACTTTAGGAAAATGTAAAGACGACTCTAACTTCTCAAAAAGAACATGTCTGTTACACTTACTTCAAACAGTATGCAAAACATGACCAATTAAGAAATAAAAATTTTCGATTCCCAGCTAGGGTACATTCCTGGGTTGCAGGCCATAACCCCCAGCAACCGCACATTGATGTCTCTCTCTCTCTCTCCCTCTCTCTCTCTCTCTCTCTCTCCCCTCACCCCCCCCTTCCCTCCTTAAAAAATAAATAAATAAAATCTTTAAAAAAATAAATAAAAATTTTAATAAACTTTTTTGAGGTAACAAGATATTGTGAATGTTTCTTCCCTTGAAGATGGCTGAAGAAATAAGTAGCATTATAAAATATTATATACAGAATTTATGTAAGAAACATGAACTTTCTTATTTTTCCCCCTATGCACTCAGCTCTTCCTCTCTGCTTTCAAGATCATCCCATCTATCCTCATTGCTAGAATGTGACTACAGGATGAATAAAATAAGCTCCTCATCCACTGACTCCAACAAAATATTTGTTTACATTTTAATTTTAAGATTGCTCAGAAGTTTAAGTCAACTAGGGAAATTTTTTAATTCACTCTAGATCTGAATATATCCAAGAGTTCTAATTACAGTAAGGCTATATTAACCTCTTCAATCATAGTTAATGGAACTTGTTTATCAAAGCAGCATGCATCAGGGGAAAAAAAAACAAAGTCATAAAGGGGAAAAAGAAATTTCACCATGCAAAGCTCTGTAACCAATCCACAACATAATAAAAGTACATAACAAGCTCCCTCATTTGGCTTGAATGTTAAAAAAATCTGAGTGAAACATACAAAAAATATGTAACAGGACAATTTTAAGTGTTATAATGTGTTTAAAAGCACTTTAAAAAATAAAATGTTTTCCTCACCACTGGTATTAGGTTTGAGTTCTCTAATGTAGTTCTTAAGCAACCATCTCTATCAATGAGAATCTTTGTGGCCAAATTTTATTCTACAGCACTATTCTAGTACCAACCAAAAAAGTTGTGGATATGGTATCAATATGAAAGAGTATTTCTCTCTAAAGTCTTTTCAAAAGGAATTACTTTCTTTTATGATCTGAGCTTAGATGATTCTTCATCTTATATTGAGATAAAAGATCTTTGCTGAAGGATCTTTAAATTCTGGAATTAAGTGTTTCCTAACTCTCTTTTCTTATCTAAGACCATCAAGTTTCATAGATGGCCACTTTTTTCAGTCACCTTTCCCTAACATATAATGAAACGGAATGAACAACCTGATTAAGGTTTTCATTTTTCACTTACATTAAGTGAGTAACTGCAATTAGAGACCTAAGATATGAATGCATTCTCTACAGCACAAGGAACACAGAAATTACAGGTGCACAATTTCCATCTGGATACCACAGTACTCTGAGACATAAAACTCAATTCTATTTAAGGCCTTACTCAGAGATACTTATCCCAGGTAAAATCACAATGAGCTATCCTCTACATGCTAATAAGGACTTGTATTAATATGCAACTGAAAGACCAAAATAAGTGGATCCCTAGAAATGGAAGCTCAGATTAGGATAGACAGTAAAAGAAAGTGATGGGCAATGGAGAATCCTAATTAGTTCCATTCAAACCATAGTTAAGTGTCCAGTTAACAACCTCTGTGAGGTAAAACTAATATAATTATGGAAAATGTAATAATGTATTAATAACTGAAATATTTAAAAAACCCTAAACATAGATTGAACCCCTCTCTCCACGCCTCCAGGTCACAGGTGTTTTAAATTCAAGGTTGTCTTATCAGAAAGGTCACTTAAGGACCATTAACCTCAATGAAATACCTGTATAATTTAAAAATAACAAAAATTGTATTTCAAAAGGGAAAAAATAACATCCCAGTTAAAATGTTAATTAGGGTAACAATTACCTACACTAATTTTATTGAAAACCGAATAATTTCTAAAGCATAAAATATTAATTATGTAGCAGTATTTTTCACTGTAAAAAAACAGACTTGAAAATTCCTTCTCAAACTAAATCTAATTTTAAAACTAACCCAAAACATAAAAATATTCACCAGTGGAGAGGAAAAAATACTGGTTCAGGGAAGTGAGACTGGATTAAGAAAAAAATTAATGAGCTATCCAACAAAAAAACATACACAGAGGCTCCAAACCTAAACTAGGCTAATTTTTCCCAAGGGAAATTTTTAATAGTTCTGTTGTTTCCCTATGCGTAGCTGGGATTTTAGAAACAGTCTAACTAGCATGAAGTTAGAGAAATTTTACAGAGGGCAAATAGGGGAGCATCCTTTAATAGTTTGCCCAATAATAAGAGTGGGGGAGATGAAGGCTGGCAATCCACCTGTCCCAACCTCTCTCCCCCAAAATATTTTGGGAGTATTTTGGGAGTTAACATACGTAATAATAAATCAGCACAGGACACATCCACAAAAAGAAAATACTTCCAACATTGTAATATCAAGAAGTCATTTTACATTTTAGAATATAGACAATATTTTCTATGTAACTCTAAAGTGTGGTATTAAAACGCCTTACAAATGGAAAAACCACTTTAACGCCACTCCATACTTCAGCAAACTACACTACAGATCTATTACAAACAACTCCTTGCAAAGCAAGCACAATCCCTTATAACTCTGTACCTTACTTCTCACTTTAAGATACCGTCACTGAATGAACGTACACAACTTAAAATTATTTTCCTGGGTCTGCTTCCCTTCCTTCTTCGCCGTAGAACACAAATGTATTTTTTAACTTTACATAAATCGACATCTAGCACCAGCAACTCAGTCTATTTTAAATCGGCTTAATTTTGAAAGTTCTAATAAGAAGAGTTCAGGTTGGAAACGAAAAACTACCTTATAAGGGTATAAAAGACTGAAAGCAGGAAGCGGCTTTGACAAAACTAAGGAAGTTGCAGCGCGCTTGCTCACTGGGGGACTTTTTTAAGGCAAGAGAAGTAACACATGACATCCTTCTCAAAGTGTGACTTGGTTCACCGGTTAAAACGCAGTGTAAGACGGTAAAGACCGGGAGTTAAAAAGGAAGAGGAGGTGGGTAGCTAAAGGAAAGCCCGATTTAGGTTCCCATTTTCAGAGTCTGATTCTTCCCATTCTCCCGCCCACACCCGGGGCAGTGTTGTCACAGCAATCTTGCAAAACCTACCAAGAGCGCTTCTCGTTTCTCTCTCCTCTGTCAAGCCAGTCCCCGCGCTCGATCCCCTAAGTCCCCAAACCCTCGAGCAGGAAGGGGCACAAAGAGAAAAGGCAGCCGGGTGCCGGGCTCGGGGACCACCTCACGACGTCCGCGCGCCCCGGGGAGGCGACCACAGCGCAGCTCCTAAGACAGCGCTGCCCACCGCGGTGGGGGAAGGGCCTGGAAGGGTAGCTCAGAGAAATCCTTTCGGGGTGGGGGGAGCGGTTCTCGGCCCCCGCGCACCCGCCCAAGTCCCAGAGGGTGAAACTAGGGACTGAGGGAGGCCCTGTTTCTTGGGCCCCACCCCTTGTAACCCGGCGGGGCTAGGACTGACACCGCAGGCTGCAGCACCTGGCCCTACCATTCATCTCGGGACTTCCTCCCCCCCCCCTCCATTTTCCTACCCCAGCCTCAGTTTCCCCATACCTGCCCACAAGTCCGCTTACCCGGTGCCACAGTCCACCACACAGGCCGGCAGCCGTCCCGCCATCTTCCTCCTCGCCTGCTGCTGCCGATGCCGCCGTCTGCTCCGTACTGGTTGTGGTCGTGGATTGGCGGCGGGAGATAGGAGCTATCTGACCATCCACAGCCAGGCCGTCCTCTGCGTCTGTAGGGAAGCCGGGAAGCTGAAGCAGTAGCGAGAAAGAAGCGAGCTCGGTCAGCGGCTACCACTTCCGCAACCCAGGCGGGCAGGCAGTCCCCGCCCTGCCCCGCCGCGGCCTCCACCCCCTCCTTCTCCCCTCCTCTTCACTCCTGCCCCCACCCTACAACTTCTTCCCCTCGCGCCGCCTTTCCCGGGGAAGCCAAGATGGCTGCCGTTGCCGACGCCCTGGCCCGGCCAGGCCAGGCCCAGGAACTAGCGCTCCCCCTTCCGGCTCAGAGCGGGAGGGGCGACAGGGCATGCGCAACGAGGTGCAGTTGCCGGAGGCCGCTTCCATCCCTATGTTAAAGAAATCCTCTTCGGGTTTTCCTAGAGCATGGGGGGCGGAGAAGTCAGCCCGATCCTTCAATTCCGAAGCTGAAAAGGGCTTTTAGTTTCAGTTACCTGAGGAACGGATGGAATCGTGTCCCGCAGCCACGAATATCTTCTCTCGTGCCCCGAGGAAGACGGCCTAGTTGAAAACGTTGTCATCGGCACACAACCAGTCTTATAACTTGAGTGGCTGCTTTTCTGGGTGGTAAAGAGCGATATCACACCGGGGGTGAGCAGTCCAGGGACGGATGAACAAAAGGTTTGACCGCGGCTCTTACGCCTCTGTGCCCAGGTTTTATTCAACTACACTTGTGCGTTATTAAAGCATTGCTTTAGAGTTGTTCCAACCTGTTTAGATGTGTAGGCCCTCCACAGAGCAGGCCTCTGCCCACGAGGAAGGCAAGTCTCTGGGGAATATCCGTGTATTATACATAATATACAAAAATAGGCCTTTATGCAAAGCTTTTGGATGATGACAGAGATTTTCTTGTGCAGTAGTTTAAGATTATACTATTCTATTAGCAGGATTATACCAAGGATTAAGTACCAAAAATTTTAGTTAAAAAAAAAGAGGTTAAAAACTGGAAAGCCTAGAAGGATGGTTTTCAAACTTAAGTGTGTATCAGAATTATCTGGAAGGCCTATTCAAACATAGATTGCTGGGCCACACCCCTGAGTTTTCTGATTAGGTGATTTGGAGTGGGATCAGGTGATGGTCAGGAATTCCACCTGGGGAAACTATTGTAGAAGTTTATTAGCTTTCCTCTCCACCAGGCTTATCTTCTGATAAACCTTGTTTGTATGAGGATGTATAAAAATATCTTTCCTGAAAAAGGATGTCTAATTCATTCCAGAGGATCACATAGTGTGGTATTAGACTGGCCTGGGGGATGAAATGTAGGCTTTTCATTCATTTGATTAAAAGAATACTGTTTACCTACTCTATTATGGATGAGGAGACTATGCTGACTCTGAATGTTCAATAGGCACAAAATGGTAAGGTCTCTTCTCTTGTAGGTGTACACTTAGGTGGGAAAACACAAATTGCATTAAGAATAAAAGCAGAGAGCAAGTGGCTATGAGAAGTGGGGATGTCATGTGGGGTAGGAGAATGGCTGGGAGGAAGAAGGTAGGGAAGGCTTCTCTGACAATATGGGATTTAAAAGCTGAGGGTGAAGGATAGTAGGAGTTAGGGAAAAGGGAAAAGAAAACAGGGAGCCCTCCAGGTAGAGGGAACAACAAGCAGCAAGGCGCTGAAGTGGGAAAGAGCATGGCTTCTTCCACAAATTGGAAGAAGACCCAAGTCATCCAAGTGAAGTGAGCAAGGGAAGATGCAAAGGGAGGTGAAGTCTGAGAAATTAGGAAGAAGCGATCAATCCAAGGATTTGTAGACTTTCCTAAGCATCTTAAAGTTTAGCCTCAAAGCAACTTGGAAGCCATCAAAGAGATTTAAGCAAGGATATGCCATGGGTGCTTTATAGGCAGCCATGACCACAAAGTAAAGAGTGATGTCAATGGTCTCTGTTCTACAATGTATACTGTAGTTCGGGGGAAGATGCTGGGATTCTTTGCTGCCTTTTCTACCATCAGTATGTAAGTTCATTGGGGAGAGCAGATGTCTACAGGTTGGCTCTGACAGAAGAGGGAGATGTGGCTTAGTAGAGGAAATGGTTGTTTCCAGCATTACAGGTGTAAGCCAGGACTGAAGGGATCCTACCAAAGGGGACCCAAGGACAGAAGTAAGGGACTTGAACAGGTCACTTTGGGAAGCCCACATTGGAAATCCTCAAGATGGCAGCCCACATGCTGGCCTTTGCTGGGTTGTCATGAAAATAGTTCTGTCAAGGGTCAGAAATGAATGCTCCCAGGATCCAGACAGGTAACATTATGAGTGAAGAGGGCCATGAGGAGGGTACAGCAATCTGGAGAACCCACATCCTGACCAAAGACAGTAGAAAACTCCCTATGCAGGAATGCAGGCCCAGTGTTGCCAGAGCCACCCTTTTTTTGAGGAAAGTCAGAAATCTGTATTGTTATCTGTTGGTAACAAATTTCTTTGCAAGCTAGATCTGACCTGTGGGTTCAAATTTTCAACTTATGATTTGAAAGGCTATTTAACATTTATTTGCACACTGCATTCAAATATGAAGCTCATATTGGTGCTAGGTACTGCATTCGTTTTGCAGGCATGAGGAAACCATCCCCCATTGTCTCTTGCACATAGTCAAGACTGTCCTTTCTCTGTAAAGGCTGTGACTGTTAGAAGCATTTGGAATATTCCAACATTTGTTAGAAGTGTTATTTTGTGCTTGTTCCTCATAATTTGTCTACCCAAACCCCTTGTTTGCTTAACACCCCTTCGACTTCCTGCTTGCTAGATGCCAAATTGGTCAGCCTCTGTACTGCTGTGGTGGCTCAGCCCTCCTCAGTTGTGCAGAGCCTTCAGATGCACATCCGGCCAAAGCATTTCTGACCTCTGTTTGCACACGTCCTCTTCCTGCTAACCTTTCTCCAAATACAGAGAAGCAGAGGATGTCAGAGCTAGAAGGCATCTGAAAGATTATCTCTTTTGCTCTGGCTGGTGTGGCTCAGTAGGTTGAGCACTGGCCTGTGAACCAAAAGGTCACAGGTTTGTTTCCCAGTCAGGGCACATGCCTGGGTCTCAGGCCAGGTTCTCAGGGGCCTGCAAGAAGCAGCCAATTAATGTTTCTCTCACACATTGATGTTTCTCTCCCTCTCTTTCTCTCTCCCTTCCCCTCTCTCTAAAAATAAATAAATAAAATCTTTTAAAAAACCATCTCATTAGATTTGAAAAGGAAAACAATAGTGGATAGGTGGGATTTGTTTGACTGCTCTATGTTCATTATTCCCTAATAACACCCTGATTTCCTTTTAACTCAGGTCAGCCAAGGAGCTTGGTTCTTGTTGGTTTACAAGTCTAGTTTCAAACTTTTGAAACATTTGTGAACCTTGCCATATCCTTCCAATAAACCCCTCCCCATTTTTTAAGTTAATAGTAAAAAGTTTCTATATCTTGCATCAATTTTAAGGACCCCACGTGTCAAAGGAGCACAGAGTTTAAGTGATTTTTCCCATTACTTTAGAAAAGCTAGGGAGCAGAGTCCAGATCAAAACCCAATTCTGATCCCTTTTCAGTGCTCTTTAGTTGTAATGCCACGAGCATTGTTTAATTTTGACTGATGTACTGGTTACCAGTTACCATGAAATTTCCTAGGATTTTCATTCCTATGCTTTAAGGCCAACCTAGTAAATACTTCTTAAAATGTCCAAGAAATTCACATGTCACTCAATCTCCATTATTTTAAAATGAGAGAGATTTTTAAAAATCACAAGTACTGTCCTGGCCAGGGGGCTCAGTTGGCTGGAGTGTTTGTTGTCCTGTGTACCAAAATGTTACGGGTTCAATCCTCGATGAGGGAACATGCCTGGGTTGTGGGTTTGATCCTGGGTAGGGTCATGCAGAAGGCAACCAATCCATATTTCTCTCTCTCTGTGAAATCAAACACATCCTCAGGTGAGGATTTAAAAAAAATCAATTTAGGTACTTGCTGTAGGGATGACTATTTGCAAATAGACTAACCAAATCCACAGAGAGCATTCATTAAGGGCAAATAGATAAATGGTCAAGATGTCCATGCAGCCTAGTGGTCAGGGATGTGGCTTTAGATAGCCTCCTATTTTGTTGTGTTTTAATGTTATATTGTCTCTTTCTTACTTTTTTAGATATTTAGAAGTTTCTGTCATTCAATAGTCGTCCCTAAACAAATACTTGATTTTTCTTAATTACCATCTTTGTTCTACAACAGACTTTATTTATTGTAAGAGCTTAAACTTAAAATTGACAATTACTTTCTTCCCTCTTTAGAGGTGGGTGAACCTGGATTCTCCCTTCTCAAGTCATGTGATCTTAGACAACTAACTTAGTGTGTAAAAAGAGCACTGAACTTGAAACCAAGAGACTCGAGTTAAGTATGAGTTCTTTAATCTTTCTTCATCTATAAAATTAGCAGAAATACCTAACCTAGGGTGTTGTAAAGCTTGAATTTTTTAAAAGCATATTATAAATTACAGAATTACCTTATGGACAGATCAAAAGAAATATCGTATAATTATAAAGTAATGGTTCTTTTACTTATTACTTAAACATATAGACTTGAACATCCCAAACCAGGTCCCCCTCTTTGCAGAAGTTATCTAGGGCCTGTGTAGCTACTCTTTTAATGCTACTATTGTGCAAAATAGTTTTAGAAGGTCTTCTTCAGACTTCCTTTCAGAGCATGTAGCACATTCTTTTAAATATTTTCATTGGTGGCAAATCATGGCCCTTTGTGGGTAGATTTGACTTTTGGAATTGGCCGACAGTCATTTTTTTTAGAGCCAAGTTCAGTGAATAAAATGGCTGATTAACTAGGGCTATGTTTTTTGATGAAAAGCTTTACGTTACTATAAAGTAATAAAACTAGTTTTCATAGGTGACTTATCAACTGCTTCTGACCATGTTCTAAAAAAGAAGTTCTAGAAAGATTTTACTCAGTGGCCACATACATTCTCTGGCATAAAAATATTATATTCATTAGATGTTTAATTTCAATTGAAAATATATTTCATATAGTAATAATAACTGTACGGTGTTTAAAATAAGGTGAGATTTGGTGGGATATCTCTCTTGTCTTCCTATTACTTCTGAAATAAAATAGTTTATTTAAAACATAACTCTCAAAGAAAGATTGAGAAAGAAAATAAAAGTTAGATTCCACATACATACATCGTATTACATATAAAAACAAATTCCAGATGAACTATAAATCTTAAATGTAGATTAAAATCCACACCTTTCATTGCAGCCCACTAAGCCCTCATGTTTTGGTACCTGCCCCCTCTCTAACTTGTCTCTACCTTTACCAGATGCATTAGCTACATCAGACTTCTTGCTCTTCTTTACACATACCAAGGCCATTTCTCCCTGCATCCTCTCCCTGTACTTCCTCCCTAATCATTAGTTATTCCTGAATCAGTTTAAATTTCACCTCCTCAGAGATGCTTTTCCTGAGCACCCAAACTGAAGCAGCCTGCCTCACACTACTATGCCACTATGTTTTCATTCTCTATTGAAATGCTTGTGTTATTTATTGGTTCATTTGTTTGTTGTCAGTCTCTCCCAACTAGAAAATTTACCCACTAGAATTTGAAGAGGATCTGGCACATAATAAGTGCTCAACAAATATTAGTTAATGACTG